CTCTTCTCCAGGCCAAACATACCCAGCTCCCTAAGTCTCTCCTCATAGAGCCAGGGTGGTGAACCTATGGCATGTGTGCCAGAGATGGTATGCGAAGCCATTTTCTCTGGCACTTGGAGCAGGGAAAAGAAGGAAAAGGTGTGTGCAAGATATTGTTGGTGTTGTTCTGAGTTGTGATGTTATGACGGGATATCCATACAGGCAGGCCATTCCTCCTCCTGGCTGTGTGGTACTGGGAGACAAAGCATTTTAAAGCCCAGGAAATAAAATGTAAATTCCATTAGCAACATCAAAAGTTCTTCCTTTGAGATCCAGGATGTTTCTATCCTTTGTGAGATTACAAATCCCTTTAACATGATAAATGTTAAAGTTCTTGGAACTTCTGATTTGGTTGTTATTTAAATTTATATGTTGTCTTTGCTCCAAGGAGCTCAAGATGCCATACACGGTTCCCCTTCTCCAGTTTATCCGCAGCACAGGCAAAAACAGAATGACTGGTTCAAGGTCACCTAGTGAATTTCATGGTTATACCTTCCAACATTTCACAGATGCAAACTGGGACATATATGGCCAAGCAGCATCAGAGTGTGGTTGAGATGGCAAAAGTTTTTAAGGAGTAAGAATACACGAGCTAGGAGAGGTTAATACTGGGAAGGGCAAGACAACTCCTCCTCTCCCTCCAGCTGAGTTAATTGAATATAAACTACCCGTATTTTCCGGTGTATAAGATGACCTGGCGTATAAGACGACCCCCCATTTTTCCAGCCAAAATACAGAGTTTTAGCACCTCTATCCTCCTTATCCTTATACCCGGCGTATAAGACGACCCCCCCTTTAACCACAGATTTTGAAGCTTAAAAAGTAGTCTTATACCCAGGAAAATAAGGTATTTTTGCACCTTGAACTCTAGTTTGCAATAGTTGAAGTAAGCTCAGGACAAAGGGTGAAACTAGGAAGAGAAGAAGAAAATAGGATATTTTAAAAGCAGCTGAAAGTAGGACAACTTTGAGCGTGTACATGACTCAGTGAAGACTAGAGCCTGAATCTGCTAAATCCCAACCAGGGGTAGGCAACCTTTCCCCTTTAAGGGCCGAGGGACTTCAGCTCCCAGAATCCCAGGAGCTATTGGCCAACATGGGACTATGGGCCAACATGGCTGAGGCTTCTGGGAGCTAAAGTCCCTCGGCCCTTAAAGGGGAAAGGTTGCCTACCCCTGAATCACTCTTAAAATTATACCACACTGGTGCTCAAAAAGGGTAATGGAAATGTGTTCTATGGGAGATTCTGTTACAAGGAATTATGTAGCCACCTCACTCTGCAATGTCAGGTATTGCAAGAAGGGGGACATCTCCATATTACCCTGAGTTTCTGGGTCTAATATCAGTATTGCTATGGAAGACTGTGTTGCATCCAAGAGCAGCTTTGCCTAAGCACAGGCCTGCACAACATATGGCCCAGGGGCCACTTGCAGCCCGCCAAAGGATTTCAGGTAGCCTGTGAAATGTGGAATGACTTCAAGGCTCCTTTGCCGCCTGGCTCTCTCCCTAGTAGAGAGCTGGGCAGTGGAGGAGGAGAAGACAGGCAAATGTTCACCCCACAAGATTTTCCACCACTTGGCCTCCTCCTCTGAGGAGGCCAGAATTAATAATCATAAATAATTATTAACAATTATTAATAATAAGTAAGTGATGATTAATATAGTTTAATAGTTAAAGTGGACCAAAGATGTTTAGCTTATTTTAATTTTGGCCCCTACTTACTGCCTCAGCAGATACAGTGGTAAGAACTGGTGGCTCTTTCTTAATACTGACATAGATAGCACTTGTGAGGAGTGGACTTCAATTGATCTTGATGCTTTTTTGCATCTTACTCTCTGGTTTGTGTACTATAATTCCACATGTGCTTGGGTCTGCATGGGATGCGTAGGGCAGGGGAATGTTTGTAGGCCTTGATCAGATGAAGGTTCCATCAAGACCAAAGGCTCACTAAGGAATGGTGAGATGGAAAGGGCGGGTGACAATGTGGTGTAGTCGCTTGAGTGTTGGACTATGACTCTGAAGCCCAGGGTTCGAGTCCCTGCTATGAAACTCACGGGGTGACCTTGGGCAAGTATCTCTCTTTCAGCCTCAGGAGAAGGCAATGGCAAACCTCCTCTGCACAAATCTTTCCAAGAAAACCCCATGATAGATTTGGCTTAGGCTTAGGGCAATGATGGTGAACCTTTTTAGGGACTGAGTGCAGTTACCTGGTGCTAGGGCAGGACTTCTGCCTTCCAAGGGCAAGACTTCCCGGGGGGGGGG